GTCTGCTGCAGTAGTGGCAGGTATGGCTGCGTCTGCTGCAGTAGTGGCAGGTATGGCTGCGTATACGCCGCGTGTCACTTCATGCATTAAGGCGCTCAACATTACAGGTGTGAGCGACGTGTGCGGACGTCTGGTGAGCGCCATGCTCACGCAGGTGTCGCCCCCAGTCATCCTAACGCGAGTGCTGCGCCAGCCCTCAGCCTGTCAGGCTGACCACGTCTTCACGCTAATGCAGGGTAACTTGTCTTGCATTCCATTATCCATTCACTTATTTACATTCCAACATTCATTTAGATATTTTCTCTCCATGCATTCCATTATCCATTCAGTTATTTACATTCCAACATTCGTTTAGATATTTTCTCTCCATGCATTCCAACATTCACTTGCAATTTTTCATCGCATGCAAGCCAATAGCCATTGAGATTTTAAGGCCTGAGCACTTATATTTATGTCCTGATTGATTAAAGGTATTACTGAGAGCTCTTACATTCACTCAGAAACTGGTGCACTCCTTTAAATTACGTCAAAGCTCCCGTAGATGGCCGTTGTGTCGTTAGCCTCCAAAATATGCATTTAATCTTAGTGTATTACGATGTTGTTTCTTTGATTCATATTTCCCGTCTCTCTTCCCTATACTTTTTTTACCACTCACACGTTCCACCCACTCTCTCACTCACACATGAGGACCTGGTCAATTTTCGAAAAGTCATTTGGCTTTAGCTCTTTAACACCAAAAATTGGATGCTTAGGAAGGTTAGACTTGGAAATATTTTTCCCAACAAAAGTTTCTCTCTATTCCTAAAATAACGCGTTTCACATTGCTCAAAACAAGTAATGCTGCTTCGGATGTGACGCACCGAAGCGCTGGGGTGGAAATTCTGGTGGCTAATTGGATTTAGGAATAATTGGGCAGTAGGAATCATTAAATGACATCATCACATGATAATAGCAATGTTTAATAACGTCTAATTTACTTGGCGGTCATTATTAGATTTAAAATAGGGATCCCTTATTTTTTGTGGTCAAAACTGGTTGTCATTTCACGCCAACTGGTTAATCGTGCTATCGCCCCTGAGGCAGAACTGCTCATATCTCGTTAATAAGTTCATCCTTTACCAAAAAAAAAAGATGAATTTTCATCCTCAATTTTCGAAAAATTATATTGTGTCCTGCCATTAAACTTTTCATAAACTTCCATTTTTCACCGAAGATATACACTTGAATTCATGATCTTTTTGGCTGCTACAAGGAAGCTCATTATTTTAAACTGCCGACGAATAGCTCTGTACCCTTGACCAGCATTTTTCATCGGAGATCTTTGGGCTGGTTTGTTTTCAAATGTAGGAATCATCTAAATCTCAAATGTCCAATTATTTATCCTTGCTTGGCTTTTCAAAATTTTGTTAATTTCTATGAATTTTTCTGCTACTTTTACTGACATAACATTCTTACCTACTCAATAGTCTTCAATTGATATATGCTTGTCTGCTGCCTAGGTCTGGCCGTTAGGTACTGGTACCTGATATTTGCTTGCCTGCTGCCCAGGTCTGGCCGTGAGGCACGGGTACCTGATATTTGCCTGCCTGCTGCCCAGGTCTGGCCGTGAGGCACGGGTACCTGATATTTGCTTGCCTGCTGCCCAGGTCTGGCCGTGAGGTACGGGTACCTGATATTTGCTTGCCTGCTGCCCAGGTCTGGCCGTGAGGCACGGGNCCTCGTGTGGCCAGCTGTGTGTGTTCAGGTGAGTCATGCCACCTCGTGTGGCCAGCTGTGTGTGTTCAGGTGAGTCATGAAATGTCGCGTTGTCAACTGCAGATCTTTAGTAGAGTATTAATCCACTTTGTGTTCAGGTGTGTGTGACATGCCCGAGTTTTGACTGCTGCATATGTTGAGGGAGTGAAGCAAGATCTCAACAAATGCTACAAAGCTGGAAACTTTATCCAAATAAGGGTTTTCTCTGCAAATTTGCTAGTCATAACTTTTATCAGGATTATTTGAGTTTTTTTTGATGAATCATGACCGCGCAGCCACATCAATATTTTGTTAAACTCCAAAATACATGTGTTCCATTGATACCTAAATTTATGTGTGCCATTCATGCCTAAATTTATGTGTGCAGGTGCGGACACTCGTACCACGAACGCTGTATGGACGTCACTACAACTCGCACCTGCCATATATGTGCCTCTTACCTGCCTACTCGACAAGAACAAGTCACTCCTCGCGCCCCAGCCTCGGTATATTAGAAAGAGGAATCTTTGTTTTAACCCAATTTTCCGGTTCAAGGGATCAGCAGCGCTTGAGAAGTGATTTTATATTCCTCGTGTTCCAAGAAATGTTCTTTAGTTTTCAACTCTCACATTTGGTAAACATTTTCTCTTATGAGAGATTAATCTTCTTGGCTTGACATTGTGCTAATTAGGCTTTACGTTTAAGAAATTTGCACCATGTGTCAGATCACCCTAGCATGGCAGGTACACATGCTCTTAACCTATATCTCTGAGAGCCTTGATGAATTACTCAGAAAATATGTCAACTGAAAGCCTCAATACTAAATGTCTTGGTCTTATGCTAACGTAAAATGAAAATTAAAGTGTTAATCTCTACGCCTCCTACAGACTTCAATAAATGAAACAAAGCAGACATTGAATGAAGACTTGAAGACTGGCGAGCTGACCGCAAAGCAGCGCGAGGCCGTGGGCAAGTTCAACGACTTGGCTGAGCGTGGATGTCGAGTGACGTTGCTGGCAGAGCTCGCCGCTCAGCGTCAGGCACCTGACGCAGCGTATGGCAGTGAAGTCGAGTCCTCAGCGCTCCATATCAATTGGCTCTCTAATAAGTTCCCTTTGAGGCTCGCACCTCCTCCACTGCACTAGCGACTGAGGCGCACCTTTCGCTTTAATAACAAGTCTTTATTTATATGCGGCGATACGCCACCAATGGCAGAAAATAAATATACGAACTACACTAATTTTTATGTACATACTGAATGTACCATGAGAAGTTATTATCATTCATATTAAACCTGCGTCTTATTAGTATGCGACTCACTCTGTATGTACCTACATACTGAATGGACCGTGAGAAGTCATTGTCATTCATACGAGTCCTGCGTCTTATTAGTATGCGAATTCGAAGCAGGTCTTTGGAAATATCGATTCAATTATTTTTAATATTTAATTTTCTGACTGGAACTCGTAAAATGACTCCAATGTTATTTTTCGTCCTCTCACAGATTGTTGCGGTAACTTTAGATAAGTATGTGTTATTTATTGCGTATAGAATAAAGAATTTGTACGTAGACAAATACCTTATTGATTTTCTCTATCATTCAGGTTTTATTTAATCTCAGGCCTTCAATGAAGAGGTACGTTATTGAAATTCCTCTTTCTGCAGCAAGTTGTTTACCAATTCATCATCGTCATGAATAATGAATCTTCATTAATCATCCTGAGTGTGGAAATGTAATGCCATGAATAATAATCTAAAGACATTTATATTCTCTCAGACTTACATAATCTGTGCCCATTATTTTAAAATTTTTACCGAAGAATGTAATTAAATTAATGAATCACTCGATTCATTATTCGATGGACGTGTCGGTAGTTTACTCCTCTTGTGACAGGACCAACAAAATGACATCACAAGAAGGAAGGTCTGATTTGGCGGTTGCGGGCGCGCATATTAGATATCACCCGAATTTCAGCTTGCCGAGCAACGTAAAATTTGCTACCGTGCCTTTCAAGACGAAGTAACAATTCAGTTAGTCACGGTTTTTCTCCTCTAACTAATGGGTGCTTGAGCAGCATTACGTCAATTATCTATCGCTTGCGGTCGCGTGAATTTCAAGTATAAAAACGACAAAGTAGGGAAATGAAACGAGACGCTCTTAAGGCATGAGTTGCGAGATCTTATGAACGAAACACCAATCGAAGAGCTTAGTTCTTAACAAATACGGCCAACGACTCCTCGGTCCTCATCTAGGTATTAACGGATTAGAAACCTGAGACAGCATCAAGATCTAAGAAAAAATACTGGATTCGCTTCAGCCAATTACTTAATTTATAGAAATTGAACTACCTTTTGACTATTACTTAGGTTCTAACGTTAGATACTTAGTGATGATAAAAGTGCCAGCGCAAAAATTCAAACAAAATTGCCAGGAATGCTACAAAAGCTCCACGAATAAGCCGACCAGAAAATCTTGCAGCGATGCAGGTAAAGCTAGCAGATATTTGTACCAAGTTAAAGAATCACCTGGAGAACGAACATGGCTATGACTGCTAACTCGAGGTTACCATTCATCGGCTTTAACATCAGACTCCTCGTTTTCTTTGCTTTCCCTTTCTTCAGCTTTGTTCTCTTCAGATTCTTCGTCACAATTATCTTCCGTCTTTTTCTCCTCAGATGTTGTGTCCTCCTGTAACATTACATGAAAATTAAGCAATACAGTCCGAGCATGTAAGGCTCGGTAATTATGCCCTGTTTGTAACTTCATTATCCTTCACAATGTAAGTCTCTTCACATTCCTATAAATTCTTTAAATAGCATCCAAAACATGCAACGGAGTTTTTCAACAGCTTTTAGCTGCTTTACTGCTGATTAAACATTTTACTTGAAAGAGTTTGTACGTGAACAAGTGGACCTTGGAGTATCGGATGACGGGTAAAATTACTCTAGTTTGTATATAGCACCAGATGCCTCTAATTCGTCTAGATCCTAGAGAGAACGGAGTGCTTTTGAACTACAAGGAATTTTCGACCAGGACTGAATGCATGTCGTCGGGAATTAACACGTTGACTACGAAGTGGTACATATGCGTACCACGAAATGTATTTCTCCAGGACGTAGTGGTACATAATTCAGGTTGCCTAAAATTGGCAAAATCCAAGAACAAAAAAGGCCGATAACTCAAAATATACTAGTTTATTTGTAGGTTCCACTATAAAAATTCCATTTATTTTCTTTTTGCAGTATTTAGAATTTAATTAGGAATTACCCCTATCATAAATTTTAGCCGGCCAACGCAATTGAGAAAAAGTCACGGAATTTGTTCGGAAAAAATGACCGTCTGGCAACTCTGTTTAAAAACAGTACAAAAAAATTAAATAATAGTACAAGATAGATCAATCGTAGTCAACGTGTAAAGGAAATGAATTTTGATTAAAAACTCCAGCTTTCTTTCATCGCATTGAACATCTATGTTCAATGCGAATAACAACATAATAACAGGCATACAATATTTTTCATGTCCATCGTTAAAGGATGGAACTCTTTTTACTACTGACATACAATGCATGCCTGCAACAATCATTTTATAATAGAAGCGGACACGAATTATATTCAGCACAGGAGTTATAACTACACCGAATAACCTCATCTTAAATTATCAAGCTGGTTGCAGACTAGTCACAAAGCCTTCTACAGAATCAAATGCACAAGGAAACCATTCATTAAAGTCCTTGATTCAGATCATTGTGAGCAAATTGTGTTACTCCAAACCTACTTTGCTGCAAACAGATATCTTCATGTTGTTTACGGACAATCGACAACTCTTGCACAGCCTGATAGTAGTGAACCTCAAGTGCGATGATGATCACAACAGTTGTGAAGAATACCTTTGGTTTTTTAGGCGATGGCTCCTCGTGGACTTTAAAGCGATCTTTGCCTTTGAAGTCGAAGTCACAATGCAAGCGCTGTCCATAGATGCCGTCCTTGATGACCTTAGCCCTCGCAGCGCGGCATTCCGACTCGCTCGAGAATAGCACAAAAGTGTTGTACCTTGATAGGAAAAGTGTTTTAGAACGCACACAATTTCTTGAGTGAGTAACGATCTCCAGCAAACATAAAATATAAACATTCTCTGAGGTACACAAATAGAATACATGAATATAATATTATAGGCCTTAGATCTTTAATCCTTGGATCACGTCATAGTGCAGCAACTACTCGCAGTTCCTTAAGCATTTCCCAGACATGAGTACAGCAATGATTTAAAATTTTCATCATGCATGTTGCGCGTACAAAATTTCTGTAGAAGTTTTCATTTGGCTCTCAGCTTCCCTGAACTAAAACAACTTACTTCTCCCTGCGTATCTCCTCAATGCCGGGCAACAGGGTTCTGATCATTTCATCTGTTGTTTCTGGCTTCAGGGACCCAATGTAAAGTCTGCAAAAACAAATTTTCATAAATTATCACAATCCATACTTGTTGTGAATTTAAAAGTTAACCTAGGCGTTATCATACTTCTATTTCCTGGCAGATGCAAATCATTCATAAAAATTTGGCAATGGTTGATTAGTTTCAGAGAATAGTGGGCAACGGAAGCTTGAAAGCTACACACTGCCCTCTCATAATGAGGATTTTATTCAACAAATAAAATTCACTTACGAGTCATCTACAAAAACCATTTAATCAATAAATTCAAAATGAGCAATGTTAAATTTAGTCTAGGTAGGTACTGTTTTTATGTTATAAAAAATTGTTAAATTGTTATCCTTGCACCACAAACTAACAGCAGCTCATAATGAAAATGTTACCAAAATTTATAACCTCAGTAATCAGTATGAGAAGTAAACTGATTTTTGTGCCATGTTCCTTGACAGCTCTTCAAATTGATTTTATGTTAGAGCAAGAAAATATAACCAAGACTCACACATTCTTCTCAGTGATGTCAAGTCTGGATGCCAATACTTTCTTGCCACCCAAGTTTGAGTTGTTTAGCTTTGCTTGCAACGCAACCGCAGCTTCTTCTGATTCACACTCGACAAACGCACACCTGCAACCATTGAACAAGAACTTAATGCAATTTATAACGAACAATTAGGCAATTAAAAATTTGAAAAAAAGAGCTTCAGCTTCATAACATCATCTTCAATCTGAATGAAGGTTATATATGGTGCAGATGTTTCAAAATTATGAATTTCAATCTTACTTTTGCATTCTGATGTCATGAGCATCTTCAAATTTTTGTAAAATATGTCTGTCTCTCTTGAGGGAGAACATTTCTGGGAATTGGAGCACAACGCCATTCATGTTGCTGTGTGTCTCTTCTGCCTTATTTGCTGCTGCTGCTGCAGCTTTAGCAGCGGAAGCAGCAGCAGCGGCTGCCACTCCAGCAAGAGTGCCATTCTTCTTTGGTTCATCTGCTGTCTCATTTTCCTGCACAAAATTAGCATTGATACCATTAAAATCAAAGAAAGTAACCATATCCTGCACGCAATTTCAAAGATGAATTTTACAAATAACATGAAGAAATGAAAAGTTTCACTTCCTAAGTCCTACTTAAAAGCTGCACATTTGCAATTGTCTGCAAATCAACTGTCAAACTGAAGACTAGCATAAAACAGTTTGAAAGCAAGAAATTACTCCGCCAGATGGGTTCTCTTTGAATACAATGATTTACAACCTTACATGCCTATAATGAGCTGAAACCCTGCCTAGTAAACCATCGAGGTGGAAAAAATATGCTACTAGTACCATGTTTAGTAGCTGTACAGTGTACAACCCTGGGCACTGCAAAAAACAGTACAGTAGATCAGCATGGAAAGTGTTGATAGCAATTGATGATAAATTGGACATTAGCAAGAAAACGTGCAGCCAGCATATGGGTTTTCAACTTGCTTGAAAAGTGCAGCCAAACTAAAAATAATTCTTCCTCCCCTATTTTACACACATACATATGTGTTCAAGTGTTACTTCTGTAGAGGATTGGAGTCTTTGCCATTTACTCCAATGAGAAAAATAGGTTTACATTACAAAGAACTGTTATATGAACCAAATTTCTGAACTAATCAAGTTTGCCATCAGAGTTCCACAGTAATGGAACTTGAACAATCACCACATGCATAGATACTTGCACCTGAGATACTTGCAATTAATTGACAGGTTCAGAGCAAGTTAAATGTGATACCTTGTTGGTCTCATCACTTGGAGCCTCAATAGGAACTTTGTCTGTAGATTCTTCTACTTCAGTTGTTGTAGGAACTTCCACTTCCATCTTCAGTTTCTTACTTCAATTATGAGACTAAATAGGACTAAATTCTGCAATCAAAATCACAAAGATTTAATATATAAACAGCAGATATCTATTTTTGACATTTGCTTTATGATTGGAGTTGAAGTTGCAAATTAATATAATTAAAATATGATTCAATGTTAATGGAGACAGTTAATTATACTCCATAGCATGCAAAGTTTAAAACAGGCTCAACACAACAAGTCAAGATTAACTTGCACATGGCACATGAATGGAGTAAGTAATTAACTAGGAATAGAACTTTAATTTGTTCGAGGGAGGAATAAATATAATGCAATGGAAAATGTCTTCTTACTAAGGAAGACACAGTCAAAGCTCCCATATAGATAAAATTATTAGGAATTTAAATAGAATGTTGCTATTTTAATTATGTTCCTTGCTGTTTGGGATTTTCTTTAAAGTATTATTGTACTTCCATGTCTAGACCAAAGAAAAAAGTTTTTATCAAACCTTCAATGACAATTTTACACAAAAAATAGCAAGAAAAAAAAAATCATTATTGACTTTATGCACCAGAGCCTGAGTTTCAATTCCCACCCAGTGTGCTAATAAATTTTTGAAAAAAATTATTTGAAGAAAAAAAAAGAATAAATCAGTAGCAGGTGGATGCTTCAGACCAAAGTAAAGTGAGAATAGTTAAAGATTTCTATGTTGGATTGAGATAAAGGTTACAACAATTTGGCAAAAACTATAAAAATAGAGACTTGAGTTAGTGCCATACATTGAACAATTGATGTGAGATACTACATTAAAAGGTCTGAAGCATTACTTATGAGATAGTCTCAGCATAGAATTGAGGAAGCTCAACTATTGGTAAAATATAATAATATTGTTTAAGGGGGTCATCTACCCTCCAGAAAAACTTCCACATTTACCAATGGATCTTTCTGAAACTTCACACATATATGTAAAACCGAAAAACAAGTACATTTTGTTTGTATGATTTTTTTCAGAAAATTCATAGAAAATGCTAAAAAAAAGGTTGTACTTTAAAAATCTATCTCCTCCTACAGTTTTCAAGCTACAGCATCAAAAGAATACCATTCGATTTGTAAAGACCATACCAATCGAGTAACACAGCCCAATTTTTTATTTTTGCCTTAGTGTTTTTTAATGGTATTTTCCCATTTTCTTCTGATTTTCCCCTCCTCACCCCCTCCCCTTTTCAATCCAAACTATGCACAAATGTAAAAAAAGGGCTTCGTTACTCGATAGGTATGGTCTTTACGATTTGAATGGTTTATCTCTCATTGATGTAGCTTCAAAACTCTAGGAGGAGATAGGTTTGCAGTGACAATAAGTTAACTTTTCAGTGGAGTTCAAAAAAGTCCCATGTGCATTGGAATAGGCACTCATTGTAGCAAGGATACAAAACTAAAAGTTACTGGAGCTTGATTCCAGTCAAGGATGGTGGGAACAACTGCATGCACACCACCCCATACAATGCCAGGCGGGTAACAGAAGTGCAGCTCAAGCAGACACTCTATTTGAAGTGCTCGACAGCTAATTTCCCAGTATCTTAGATGTTAAAGAACTCCACCACCCCCCACAATTGCGGGATCTGTCGTGAATGCATAAATCAATGTAGAGATGATTTTGGTACTGCTGGATAGGTCAGAATGTCAGATTTAAGATGAGTATAAAACCAAAAAATGCCAAATTTACGACTTTTAGGGTAGGTACCGTAAAATGGGGTCACTTTGACTCCCGGGGTAACTTTGACCGATTTTTGTTTTTTTAACAAAAACCCACAAAACTCAAAAACTATTTGACATAGAAAAATTTTGTTGAGGGCCATTTAAGGCCTAATACTCAGGCTACGTAACACAATAGAGAGATTTGAAAAGTTTGCATATCTAATAGGTTAACAAATTGAAAATGTGACCCACAAAAAAGAGCTATTATTTAAAGCCTGTTGGAGAACCCCCTCCAATTTTTTTATTTTTTGGTAAAATAACTCCAGGTTTTGATGCATTGTAGTAGAACTCTTCTAGTTACATATGAAAATGACAAATTTTAGGCAAGTGTCACTGTTTGCAAATGGTGGGTGCCACCCTTCAATGGGGGAACTCTGACCACCTAATGGCAGCCATGATGGGGTAACATTGACCGGCTTGGAAATCAAGTTAAAATTACCATAGGTACCTATACAACATATTTTATGTTTGATACACCTATTAATGTTTTTCCTTTATGTTTCAGACTCTACAAAATCTTATATATGGTAATTTTAACTTAATTTCCAAGCCAGTCAATGTTACCCTGTCACGGCTGACATTGGGTGGTCACATTTTGCCCGTTGGGGGGCAGCGCCCCCAATTTGCAAACTATGACACTTTCCTAAAATTTGCCATTTGCATATGTAACTAGAAGAGTTTTACTACAATGCACCAAAACCTGGAGTTATTTTACCTAAAAATAAAATTGATTTTACCACCCAGTCAATTTGTCAATGAAACCCCAAAGTGGGGGGTAACAAAGACCATCACTTTTTTTGAAATTACATCAAAACTATGAGAGGCAGGAGCCAGCAATTTATGGAGAGTAGAGCTAGTATACCGTAAAATGGGGTAACTTAGACCGGCGGGGTAACTTAGACCACTTTAGTTTTTTTAACAAAAACCCCCACAACTCAAAAACTATTTGACATAGAAAAATTTTGTCAATGGGCCTTAAAGGCCTAATACTGAGGCTACATAACACAATAGAAAGATTTTAAAAGTTTGCATATCTAATAGGTTAAAAAATTAAAAATGTGACATACAAAAAAAGCTATTATTTAAAGCCTGTCAGAGTACCCCCTCCAATTTTTTT